GGCACCCCGGGGGGCACCCCCGCCGCCCCCTCCCCCTCCCCCCCCCTCTCTCTGCCCCATCTTTGAGCACCAGGGCCTGTGGGAACCCAGGGCCACCCCCCCCGCAGCTTCACATTCCATTTACCCCACCCACGCTCAGGGCAGAGCAAAGCAACCAGCAGCAGCAGGAGTCTGCTCCCCCAGGAGCCCCTGGTGTGGGGGGCCCAGGGCCAGCTGCTTTGCTCAGGGTGGTTTTCACCCCAGGGCCCTTTGGCTAAATGCTGCCTGAGGAAAACCAGGGGCTCACGTCCTGGCAAGGGCAGCCCGTCCCCAGGGACTAGGTTTGGTTAGCCCGGCGCTCGCTGCAGTCGTCTGCTCAGGCAGAAAGCTGGCTGCCGGCTACAAGCCGGACTCGAGCCTTGCTCAGATTAGCACCGCGTGCAGGGGAGGGGGTCAGTGCGCCGTGACAGAGGGGCGTAACACAGAGTGGGCCTGGCGGAGCTGGGCTGGAAGATGAGCCAGACACACGAATCGAGGGGCCTGAACAGCAGGCGGGCAGGACAAGCCTGTGCCCACCCACAGACGGGGCAGTTTTCATTGCAGCTGCCTCTCCCCTCCTGTCTACCTCCTCCGTTGAGACAAGCCCAAGGCACGAACCCAGCCCGGGGTCCTGGTGTGTGTTCGACAAAGTGCAAAGTCCCTCTCCAGCCACGTGCGGCAGCAACGGCCAAGGGGGCACCGGGTTACGGGGCAGCAGTTCCCCCACCTGCGCCGCCCTCGCCCACGGCCGAGCTGGGAAAGGCAGAGGGCAGGACACAGCAGCCGTCCTTAGCAGAGGCCAGGGGTATTTAGAAGAAAGGAGCTGGCTGTGCCCAGCCCGGAGAAGGAGCCCGCCCCACTAACAGGAATTGGCCATGGCCAGAGCCAGGCTACAGTCAGAAGGATTTTTACAGAGATTAGACGGGGGGTTCCCCTCCTCCTCCCCGCCCGAGGGCAGGTGACAGTGGGCGGTGTGGGGCTGCCGCACGGGGCACTCGGAGTCACTAGCAGCCCCCCAGGGGTTAGTCTAGCAAGGAGGGCTCGGCTGGTCGGATAATGGTCGGCCGGTTCGGCGCCGCGGGGGGTCTTCTGCTGCAGAGAGAACGGGAACAGAGGGGAACCGTTAGGGACGGGGCTGAGCGGGAGTCACCGCTGTGGGGCGGCTGGCATCCTGGGCACGGTGTGGGCACCCTGGCCGCCTCGCTGCCCAGCCCAGAGCCACAGGGCTGGTACTGCTCCAGGCCACCATGCAGGCGGGGGAGGGGGGAGGGCAGATGGGAAGGGACCAAGCCAATGTGCATGAAACTGGGATCCCAGGCTGCGCTGCCAGCAGGAGACCCAAGCCTCAGCTCTTGGGAGCTGCAACGGGCAGGGCAGGCTGGGTTCCCCAGGGCTCTGCCTGGAGACCTTGGTCATTATGCTGTACTGGGGAACCCCGACGCACGCAGCACGGCCCCTTCCTAGCAGCAGAGCCCTGCTCGGGGTCAGATAGCAAACGGGCCTGCCTGAGCCGAGGCCGGGGGGTTCCTGCGCCCAGCCGATCCATCATGGGGTTTCCCCCTCTCTCCCATGGCTCTGGCCACGCTGCTCACCGCGCCCAGTGGGACTGCAGCCCCAGCACGGGGCCCTGGCGGGAGTCATGCCAGGAGCCACCAGGCTGCTCTGGGCGTGGGCGGCGAGATCTTACCTGGGCACGCCCGGGGGGACGCCAGGCGGAATGCGAGCTGGCCGCGACGGAATCTGAGGAGGGGCTGAGAAGGGGTCGTTATTAGCAGGAAATACGTTCTGAGGTCCAGGGCGTAAGGGGATGGGAGGAGCCACGAAGGAGGAAGAGACCCCCCCAGCAGGGGTAACGATCAGGGGGGGCCCTGGCGTCGGGCCCCTCACGGCAGGGGGCCTGCCCGGCGGCAGCACGGCGGAGGTAGGTCTGCGCTGAGGCGGCGGGCTGCAGGGGAAGGAAGTGTAGCAGTGTGAGCTGGGTCCTTCCGCCCCCTCCCGAGAGTTCCAGCCCCCTGGGCGGAAGGAGCTGCCCAAGCTTGTCTCGGGGAGCCAAGTACAGGCCCCAGGTCTCCAGCTTGCCAGTCTTAAACCACTAGGCCATCCTTCCTCAGCCCCTCCCAGCCCACCAGCCTGGGCTCCTCGCCACCCACTGCGCCGGAAGTGTAGCAGTGTGAGCTGGGTCCTTCCGCCCCCTCCCGAGAGTTCCAGCCCCCTGGGCGGAAGGAGCTGCCCAAGCTTGTCTCGGGGAGCCAAGTACAGGCCCCAGGTCTCCAGCTTGCCAGTCTTAAACCACTAGGCCATCCTTCCTCAGCCCCTCCCAGCCCACCAGCCTGGGCTCCTCGCCACCCACTGCGCCCTACCCGTCATCCACCGGCGGCGGGACCGGCGTGGAGACCGTGCTGGTGCTGATGTCCCCGATGATGTGCAAGGCCTCCTTCAGGGCGTGGTACATGCGCAGCATCTCGTCCCGCCGCTGCGCCTGGTCGGCCGACTCCTCCATCAGGCTGCTCTGGTCTGCGGACGAGTACAGGAAGGCCAGCAGCTCCGAGTGGATGAAATCCTTGGTCTGCAGGAAGCGGCAGGTCAGCGCGAGGGCAGGCTAGCGCAATGGTTAGAGCGGGACGCGCCACAAAGCAGGGCTCCCGGGGGCAGCCCAAGCCACAGGATCGCTCTGGCACAAAGCCGGGAACCAGGCTCTGGCCCTTCCCGCTGTAAGCGCCCAAGGTCCGTACACGCAATGAAATACCTCAGCAGCGAGCCCCGCCCGGGGGCCAGAGCCGCG